GAGGGATTTAAAGGGACAAATTTTTGTTCCTTGCCCTCCAAGGTCAAACAACTTCCCAGGGCTATGGCACAGCTCTTGAAATGTCCTGTAACTTTGGTGAGTCACCTGTCCTCTTGTTCAGGGAGGCCATGGAGACCCCAGAAGATGGACTTGAACCAATGTCCAGTCTGCAAAGAGGAGGGTCAACATAGAGGAAACATTTCCTCCATGCTTCCAAGCAAAGCCCTGGTCAAGCAAGACCTCTTGACTTATCTTCACATAGATGGAACTGGTAAAAAGAAAAGCCTGAGGAGCCAGCCCCCCGACCCAAGCCCATGTGACCTCTGAGAACCAAATCCTCATACAACCTTAAGACTTCGAATCTTGGTCTGCAATACTGTAGTGCCCACTTACAGCTAAGGGAGGCAACCCACTATTGTTCTAGCCTAAAAATTAAATGATGGCTAAATTTGTCTTCTCTCCCTATCTGGAAGCCTTTGAGAGGTAACTGACACTAACTCTAGCCACTCCAACAGCTATCAAAATGCCTGAAAACAAATCCTGAGTCCATCACTCTCGAGTTCAGCCCTAGCAGAAGAAAAAAATGAAAAATGAGCTACTACCTTGGTGCTAACCATTGCCCCTTGCCTCTTCAGATATTTTCAGACCAAAATCCAAAAACTCTTACTCTCGTACTAATTTTACTCAGTTGTTACTTTCCTTCCCTCCACATGTACACAAGCACCTGTCAACCATCGAGGACCCTGTTGAGATGCATGAAGAGGGAACCCCCACTGTCTGACCGACGCCTAATTCAGCAACCCCTCGTCGACCCTGTCCAGCAGAAGTAGCAAGACGATGGCGCCCCCTATCCTATAACACAAAAGGCTGGAATGTTAGGGTTCAAATAGCAGCAGCCCCCTCACCAACAGGATCCCAAGGACCTCTCAAGCTCCTGAGAAAAGGGAACCTAGCTGATAAGCACCTTGGTCTTTAAAGTCAAGAGAAGCAGACTTTTCTCCACTGTTTGGCCAACACAGCAGGCTTCCCCTTTGATCTCTAAAGAGAACAGGTTTTAACAGTCCCACTCTCCCACTTCCCCCCACCCAACTTAAAAAAAAAAAAATCTTCCCACCTTCTGCAGGAAGCAGAAGCCTCCCCCTTAAAACACCCCAGCTCACAACCTAGGCAGACATTTTCCCTGCCCAGAAGGGAATGTGTCCCATGTGTTCCTTTGCTTTCTCCTGATCAACCCTATTCGTCACATGGCTACTTTTTATCTATTGGATCTGGGGTGTTCTGCTCTATCAGGCTCCACCTTATTCCCTGAGACAGGGTCTCTGACTGAACCCGGAGCTAGGCTGACAGTCACCAAGACCCAGCAATCCTCCTCTCTCTGAACCCATAGTGCTGGGTTAGAGATGTGTGGACAGCCCTGAGCAGATGCTTACATGTGTGCTGGATCCAAACTCAGGTCCTCGTGCTTACATGCTCTTACCCATGAACCATCTCACCAGGCCTGCTGTTATCTTTTTGTTGTGTTTTGTTTTTTGAGACAGGTCTCCCTGTAGCGCCAGCTGGCCTGGAACTCACTATGTGAACCAGGCTGGCCTCCATCTCACAGAGATCTTCCTGCTGGGATTAAAGGCAGCTACCACTATGCCCAGCTGCTGTTATCTTTTTTAAAATTAATTAATTGATTTTTATTTTATTTGTGTGAGTGCTTTGCCTGCATGTATATAAGTGCACCCATGCATGCAATGCCCTCAGAAGCCAGAAGAGGGCGTCAGATCCCCTAGAACTGGAGTTATTGATGGTTGTTAGCTACCATGTGGGTGTTGGGAACCAAACCTGGGTCCTCTGCAAAAGCAACAATGCTCTTAACCACCAAGCCATCTCTGACCTGCTGTTATTTTAAAAGTACCTGTCTCTCTTAACTATATCATTGCTATAACAAAATATTTGACAAAAGCAATTTAAGAAAGGAGGCATTTATTTTGGCTCACTGTTCCAGGATACAGTCCACCATGGTAGAGGAAGGCATGGGGGCAGGAATCGAGGCAGCCGATACACTGCACTCAGTCAGGAAGCAGAGGGGTGAATTTGGGTACTCTGCTCACTTTCTCCTTTTTATTCAGAGGCCTCAGCCCATGGCATGGTTAACCCCTCAGTTAACCCAATCTAGAAGCTACCCTGCAGACATGCCCAGAGGCCTGTTTGCATGCTAGTTCTTTTTTTTTTTTTTTTTTTTTTTTTTTTTTTGTCTTTTTGAGACAGGGTCTTCCTGTAGCCCCAGCTGTCCTGGAACTCACTATGTAGACCAGGCTGGCCTTGAACTCACAGACATCCCACCGGCATGCCTCTGCCTCCTGAGTGCTGGGATTAAAGGCGTGTGCCACCACGCCTGGCATGCATGCTAGTTCTTAATCCCACCAGCTGACAAGATCAACCATCACAGCACCCATTAGCAATTCATTTACTATTCACAACTCTATGGGGTAACCATTTCACAGATAGGAAAACTGAGGCTCAACAAGGTCAAACTAGTAAATGAAGGATCCAGGATCTGAACTTCATTCATCAGTCTCATTGGAAACCTTTAACCCTCTTTATCCCTACTGTGCTGCTGTAGTAACTCCAATGGGACAGAAGGACAGGAGGCAGGTTTCAGCTGGACATAAGCAAGGGCAGTGTCCTGGCCAGTGTTTTCCCCTCTCTGGGGGTCATGGTAGGGCTGCAGACCTCTCACAGGGCTGGAGAGGCACCCTGCCTTGGTGGAGGGACGGGTGTCCCTGTCCTCTCAACAATCTTCCAACTGGGACGTGACTATGTCCATCTAAAACTTCAGAACACTGAAGCTTCTCCAATTTTTATGCTGCTTCTTTAAGGTATTCTTGGTCCCACATACTTAAGAAACTGGTTTTCCTGTCTAAAATAACCTTATGAGACCCTGATGCACGTCAGTCTCTCAACAAGGGAGTCACGGATGCCTGTGTCCAGCCGCATACTCACCGTGAAGTTCATTTCCTTGATGGGCTGGTTCAGGTGCTCAAAACCGACGGTCACCATATACTGTGTGTAATTCAGGTAGCCCAGGTGAGCCACAATGATCTCTGCACATTTCTGCAAACAGGAAGATTGGTGTCTTTAAAGTAAGCAAAGAAGTCCCTCCCATCCACTGACCCGTAAGTGACTCATTTCAACAACAGGTGAGCAGAACTCATCCTCAGAAAACTTGAGAAAGTTCAGAGTAAGCCAGATGCCAACCGAACCCAGCTCCTACGAAGAAAGCGCCCAATGGATATTTCCTGATTTTACAGTGATCAGAATCGTCCTTTTAGATGACTGAAATGATATGTCACCTGTGTAAAGAAGTTACCGCAAAACAACACAAGCCTGACACATCTATACACACACTACTGCACAGGGGAACTGCAAGCTAAGACGGCCGACTGGATGTCACAGCCTGACCTGTTCTTCTGGGCCCACTTCAATCACTATGACCACACACAGCCCACGAGGAAGGTACTTTTCTCTCTCTGCTTTCAGCCTGCCATTTCCTAACAGAGCCACCATCTGCCACCCCTCTCCCTACAACCGAAGTGAAGCCTGCAACAGCGACAGTAAGGAACAGAAGGGAGACATTTGTAAATTGTGACACAGTGTAAAGTGAGGCAGGGCCACCCACAGGAACAGGAAGAAACCATGGGGAGAAGATGCACATGGTAGCCTATCCCTGGAGCAGAATTAACCCAGCCTTAGGTAGCCTGGCGCTCCTTGAAGCCAAGGCTATAGGGAGGCAAGGTGTCTGCATTTTAAAACTGCAAATCCTGTGTGCTGGGAAAACACCATAGACAGGGCAAGTCAGGATGATCAGTCACAGGAGCTGCAGGCCCAGCACTCAGTGAGCAGCTGTGTGTCCCACTCTGTAGGCCGCGGCAGGAAGGAGATCTTTTGGGACCTTCATGCATGTTAATCTTCTTGTTATCCAGCAGAACTCACTGAGTACCTCCTGCACACAGGATGGTGGGGGCTCATGGACATCCAAGCTGGTGTGAACACTACATACCCTCACATGGGTTATTTACCTGGATCTTTGCCACTCTCCCAGGACAAGCAGGAGGGCTAACCCCCACAGGTAAGTACATGTTCCAGAAGCTGGCTCAGGCTGCTTACTCAGGTGGGAGGAGGGACTTAGGGTGAGGGACCAGTAACTCTTCTGCCTTCTCTAAATGCCGCCCTATCTGTGATCGCTGTGTTTGTTGCTGCCAAGGTCACGAAGTCACTGCTGTTACACTTGGCAGGGGAGGGCCACCCGTCAGCACAGCTCAGCACCCTCAAGCCAAGCATCTGACCTCTTTCAATCAACAGAGAGGGGGGCCAGCAAGGGCACAGGAACCCATCGCTGCTTGAATTCCTTCATGCCAGGAGAAAGGGGGCAGTATTCTTACTGTTAGTAACTAGGTAGGGCACATGTGGTTACAGCCCCAGCATAAAAGAGCACCAGCTTAGATCCTTTCCTTCCACTTGGTATCTGTGTCACCTTGGACAATGGCTTTGACCTCTTGAAGCCTCTGTTCCTTCTTTTATAAAACAGAAACTAATAGTTTCTATTCTGTGGACCTCCTGTAAGGATTTAATGAGGGATGTACAGAAGGTACTCAGCACGATGCCTTTCGACACACTCTGACATTCCTTGTCTAACTAGCCCTCTAATCAAACACCCTGCCTCTGTTTGATGCTCTCCAAGTCTCCATGCTGCCAGTAATGTGTTCAGTCCTCACATGGCTCCTGGCTACTACAGGGACAGGGCCTGAGTCACTGGCTTCTGAACAGAACACGCTGTCAATGGATAAAAAGGAGTGAGGGCTCTCGGCTCACCAATCATGCTGGGCCCACAAATGTCCTTTCCCATTGCCACACAGGACACCCTAAAACAGATGCCTAAATGAGGCTGCTGACCCTAAGAGGCCTGGGCACGCTTCCCCCATCCCAAGATGGATCAGAGTAGCCCACCCAAGAGAAACAGCCCAAAGGCTAGTGATGGAGAGTGACCCCAGACAGTGGCAGAGGTTCATCCGAAGCTTGGCCCTCCACAACCACCTATGGACAGCAATCATCAGGTAAAACCTAGGCTCAGGGTTTGTGGCAGGCTGGGTGTGCATGTGTACATGTGTGTTTATGTGTGTATGCATGTTCCTGTATGTAGGAGTTAACAAGAATTCCTACGGGCATCAGAGTATGATGTTAGGAGGGTCTTCCATGCCATCCGTGGAATGACTCCATTTTTTTTAACAAGGAAAGCATTTCAAGATACAGACATAGGCATATAAGGACTCAAATAGCCAGGCAAGAAATGACAAATGCGGTTACATGAAATTAAAAAGCTTCTGCGCAGTAAAAGAACACAAGCACCAGAGTGAAGAGAGCCTACCGAATGGTACAAAAAGCTTTGCCAGCTACATATCAGACAGGGGGCTAATATTTAGGACATATAAACAACTGCAAAAATTAAACACCAAAAACACCAAATCATCCAACCAATAAATGGACTAAAGAACTGAATAAACGACTCTCAAAAGAAGAAATATAATGACCAATACTTCAGAAAGTGTTCAACATCTTTAGCCATCGGGGAAGTGCAAATTAAAAGTGCTTTGAGATTCCAACTTACCCCAGTCATTAACAGCTATTATCAAGAAAATAAATCACAACCAATGCTGGTAGGGACATGAGAAGAGGAGCCTTTATTCACTGCTGGTGGGAATGCAAACTTGTACAGCCACTTTGGAAATCAGTATGGAGAGTCCTCAAAAAGACTGAAAACACAACCACCATATAACTTACCTATTCTAGTCTTGGGCATATACCAGAAGGACTCCAAGTCAACACACCACAGAGACACTTGCACATCCATATCTACTGCTTCACTACTGACAACAGCCAGGAAATGCAACCCACCTAGATGTCCATCAACAGATGGCTGGATAGAGAAAATGTGATACATATACACAGTGCAGTCATAAAGAAAATGGAATCATGGTATTTGCAGGAAAATGGAAGCCAGTGAACAGCATTATGTGAAGCAAAATAAGTCAGACTCAAAAAGACAAATACCACATGCTTTATGTGCAGAACTTAGAATTAAATTTATATGTGTATAAAAATGTGTCTATGTATGTGCTATATGAAACTGGACCTGGGATGATAACAAGAGGAAGCACTATCAAGGAAGGCAGGAAAAACAGAGGCAATGCATGCAATAAGAAAGCAGAAAGAGGCACTAATGGTAAGGAAGGGAGCCAGGGAAGGAAAAGAGGGCGCAGCAAGCGAGGGAGCAGATGAGGAGAGTGTGATGGCGTGTATGTGCGCAGACTGTATAAGGGAACCCATTATTTGCGCATTTACCTAATAAATAATTTTTTAAATACAGTGTGAAGCCTCCTCCTGGCTCTGCCTCTTATGCTGAACAAGCAGATCTATGACAGCATTTGAAATGGATGACTGCAGAGCCATCAAACACACTCACCCCTGCACACGAGAGGGTCCTTGTCCGATTGTGAGCCTTGTTGTGAATGTACATCATGGTTCCATCCTGAGCTACACCATTGACTTTAACAGTCATGGAAAAGCTGGTTTGAATAGACGTTTCTACCAAAGAAAGAAATTTGGTTATCAGAGACCACCTCAGACACCTCCAAGCAGCAAAGCGGCCTGCTGCCAAGAACATACAGCGTCCATGAGCATCCTAAGGCCACATTACCCTGCACACACTTGAAAATCCCAAATTCATTCAGCAAAGGGGAGCCTTTCCTTTCTCCCACACTGCCAAGGGGTCTGTGTTACACCTGCATTTCTGATGATCAGCTTCACTTCACGGAGGGTGCACAGCTACGAAATTACCTCTTTAATTTCCCACATAAATTCTTTAATTTATGCCAAGATAGAAATAGAGTTCTACTTTTTTGGACTAAAATTTGTCTAATCATATTCTCATATAAAACGAGAACAGGGTTGGCAAGATGGTTCAACGGGCAGGGGAGCCTGCTGATAAGTCTGACGGGCCACCTGAACTTGATCCCCAGGACCACATGGTGGAAGGAGAGAACCCACTTCCACTAGTGGTCCTCTGACCTCCACATGCATATCGTTGCATAAGAACACACACACACACACACACACACACACACACACAAAGAAAGAAATAAAAAATTAAATAAATAAAAAGAGAGAACAGTCTTAAAGAGATAGCTCAGCATTTAAGAGTGCTTGCTGCTCAAACATCAGGACTGCAGTTTGGATCTCAGTAACCACGTAACAAGCCAAATGTCCTGTGCATGCCTATAAGCCCAGCTTCTGGGGGTTGGAGAAAGGAGGCTAGGCTTGCTGGCTTCCAGCCTCGTTCAGAAAACTCAAGCTCCAGGTTCAGGGAGAGACTCAGGCTCAAAGGAGTAGGCAGAGAGCAGCAGACCCCTAACACAACGCCTTCCTCTGGCCTCTGCGCCTCTGCACAGTTGTGCACACACAGACTCACATACACACATAGACACACAAGTAAATAAATCTTTTAAAAAAGAGAACGAAGGGGCTGGCAAGATGACTTAGTGGTTAAGAGCTTGCAAAGGACCCAGATTTCGTTTCCAGCACCCACACGGTGGCTAACAAGCATCTGTAACTCCAGTTTCAGGGGTCCAATGCCCTCTTCTGGTCTCTCAGGCACTGCACACATATGGTACATTTGCATACATGCAGGCAAAACATCATACATATAAAGCCGGGTGTGGTGGCATGCCTTTAATCCCAGCACTTGGGAAGCAGAGGCAGGCGGATCTTTGTGAGTTCGAGGCCAGCCTGGTCTATATAGTGAGTTCCAAGATGGCTGGGGCTACAGGGAGACCCTGTCTTAAAAAGACAAAAAAAAAAATCATACATATAAAAATAAATTTAAAGATTTAAAGAGCACTGAACACTTAAAATCCCACCCCAACTAACTATAGTTAACATTTTTATGTCTATCCTTCTAGACCATCTTCTAAACACACAAATATAAATTTGTTTTCACATTTTATAACGTTATTTTCCTACTTCTTTTACCACCAACAAGGCATTACCTTCAAACTGTTTCTCCGAGAACCTCAGCTAATCACAGACCACCCTCAGCTGTCCGACCACCCTCAGTTCTCAACATAATGAAACAAAACTAGTGCCATCTGAGATGCAAGGAGGTTAATCTTTATAAACAACAATGACACTGACTTGCTAGGCTGTGCACTGTGGTGGGTGAGTAGCATCCCTGGCCTCCACCCATCATACTCTGCTAACACTCCTTCCCTTGTGACAAATTGTCCCACACATTACCAAATGTCCCTGGGGAGCAGAAACACTCCTCAGTGTGTCAGGACCTGATTCCCTCCCAGTTCCCCACTGAGCTCAGCTGTCCATACCCTGCAGAGAGGCATCCTGTCTCCCAATGGGAGACAGCTGAGGGGCTTCCAATTTGTCCTACCACAAATAATGGGTGTCCCTTTTATACATGTCTACTAGCATGTGTCCAAATACTTTAAGGTCTTTCTAACTCTTCAATATGACAATTTATACTTTAATAAAATCAGCCTAACTGTCAGAGTGCATACCTCCTGATGGCTCCAACTCGACAACACACGTCAGCCATAGTTGTTGGTTGTATGTCGAGAGTGGATTTGAACGTATTTGAATTGGTTTTAGCTGAAGCAGAAGAAAACAAAATTCAGTAATCCACGTGTGTTCGTGGAATCTGTCAAATACTTTATCTAGCATATAAAACTAACATTTAGTGAAATAGGTTTGAGCATGAGCTCTGCGACAAAGATGAATTCTCCCCTGCAGAACACGGGATGCCGTCCCTTCGAGACCAGCCGCAACGCATTCCTGCCTCTTCAGAACCTGTAAGCAGCAATTCCCACCACCTGAACCCTCAGGCTTTGCACCTGCTAAATACCATGAAAAAGCCATCAGGGATACAGTGAAAAGGGCAGACTGAAGAGCTATGCGACAAAAAAGGGCACCAGAGAATGGCCTTCAAGTTCCCAGCATCATGTATCTCGATAACCATTTCTTCAGTATCAGAAGGCCAGATACACTGTTGCTTGGCATCAGTTACTTCTAGCTTTATATAAAGTCTTAACATCCCTGGAAAGAAGACTGAGAGGCCTACGTGCAGTGATTCTTCTGCAGTATCCTTTGAAAAACCACAATAATGGTGTCCGATGGCAGAGAGGTGTGGAGGGGGTTGGCGAAGGCACCCATCTATACTTCCAAAAGAAGCACTATTTGAAGGCATCACCTTTGGAGGGTGAATGTACAGTCTTGTTTTCATGTGTCTGTCAGAGTTGCACCAAACTTTCGGAGACCATGGGCTTGTCTGAAAGCCACTGGGGAATGGAAACAATCAGAGGATGAGATGCTGTCTTCCAGAAGCAAGGCTGGTCTCTCAGAAGCAAATCAGTTCTGCAGAATGGCTGTTATTGTCACTGTCAGAGACAAACCCTGAGGGGCAAAAACTGGAAGAACCACTACCGTAGGGAAAACTCATGGTGGCACTCTCCAAACCAGACCAACTGCCCAAGAGTTCAAGATGATGAATGCAAAGAAAGCGTGAAGGCTACACAGAGGCCCTTCCACGCCAGCAGGAGCCAAAAGCAAAAGGCGTACAATTGTCTTCTGTCTTTTCAAAAACTGTAATGGGAGACCTAGCAGGTAGGCTGAGAGATGTAGGGCTCAGCCTCTGAGGTAGGTAGGCAGAGAGAAGCAGGGCTCTGAGACCACACTAGGATACTGAAACTGAAAATGCAGACGTGTGTTCAGTTTCTGCATACACACAGATTCCGCTGTTTAGTTCACCAATCCAAAGGACTTGTTTTTCCCTAAAGACAGCAATGATCAAGGTGTATTTATAAAAGGAAGAGGGAATTTTTCATTTAAACTGAGCCAGGCAAGAAATATCAAACCAGGGGCTGGAGAGATGGCTCAGTGGCTAAGTGCATAGGATACTGTTGCAGAGGACTAGAGTTCGACAATTCCCAGCACCCACACGGTGACTAACATCCATCTTTAACTCCAGCTCCAGGGTATCTGATGCCCTCTTCTGGCCTCTGCAGGCATTGCATGCATGTAGTACACTTACATACATGCAGGCAAAATACTCATATACTAAAAATAAATAAATTATGTAAAAAATACCAAATCATCAATAAAAAGAGCTTAGTCGGTAAAGCGCGTTCCACGCAAGCATAAGTACCTGAGTTCCATCCCCAGCACCCACCAGGCTAAGTAGTGCACACTTGTAATCCCAGAGCCAGGGACTCAGAAACAGGAGGATCTCTGGACTCACTGGCCAACCAACCTCACTGGTGAGCCCTAAGACCAGTGAGAGACTGGGTCTCAAAACAATACAGTGGGTGGCTCCTGAGAACCCCACCTGTGGTTGACCTCTGGCCTCCACATGCATATACAACACACACAGAAATTTTTTTAAGGAAATGGTCAGATACCTAAGCAATCACCATTGAATCTTTTAGTATAACAGGGCTTTCTGATGTGAGCAAGCAGAATGCATTAACACCATTGGAAACAAATTGCAGCTCCTACAGAGGGGAACACCAACATCCCACCACCAGCCTTCCAAAGGCACTTAGGACCTCGGAAAAGGGAACACTAGCCAACAAGAACCCAGAAGCCAGCAGCTGACCAGAAAATTAGAACTATGTGTTGCCTGAGAAGCCAACTGCCAGGCATGGGCAGCCTAAGCCTCAAGACTCTCCAAGTGAGGCCACTTCTCAGTGACTCCCAAGTTTATAATGAACCATGAGCTGCCTCTTACATACACTCTTACCTTTTTGCTATTATTTAGTGAAAAATTAGCGGCAGAAGTCTGGATCACTTTGGGTCCTAAGCGTAACAAAGAAGGGAAGAAAGTGGGTTATAGTGGCAACTTACTGATTTTTGTTCACATACCAAGAAAGGCTTACACACCAAGATGCAGTGACTGAATCAAGGCACAATCTGATGTCCGGCTCTCCTACCCCAGGAAGGTATAGCCTTCGATAGACTCTAGAATTCCAAAAGAGCACAGAAGACTACCACTATAACTGCTGTCTAGAGGTGGAGAGAGATTCCTACTCCACCATCTTCTGAGAATCCTTCCAGATGTCTCCAATTCTTACAATTCTTGCTGTAATCTTTCATAGCATTGGCTTAAATGGTTTTAAAATTAATTTAGAACTGGATTTGCCTAAAACAAATTATTTTTAGCTTGAGATGCCAGTTCTCAGGGATGCCTCAGTGGCCGACCAGCCTGTCAACAGCAATCCTCCATCTAACTCAGACTGTGCTGGTATATGCAGCTCAACCTGTCTCAGGAAGGTGCCTACACATGCTGCCAGGTTGTCTCCATGGAGGAAGGGGGCCACTCCACAACCAGGCTTTTCCCAAACAGACTCACAAGCTTGGTGGACTCTTATTAATCTGTAAATCAGGCAGCCTGGCTTCCTGGAAAGAATTAAGAACCTGGAGTCTAAACTAGCAAGTCCCTCTGGGCCTCCATTTCCACATTTGCACCTTCCCACATAAAGTAACTGAGAGGAATGTGTTTACAATAGTTCATTTCATATGTCAATCTGAATGGGACATGGGGTACCTGGGCCAGGATATTTGGTTAAACATTGCTCTCTCATGTCTTTGAGGAATTTCTGGGTAAGATTAACATTTGAATCAGCAGACTGAGTAAAGCAGACTGCCCTCCCCAGTGAAGGTGAGCCCTCATCAAAACCATCCAAGGTCTAAACAGAACATGCTAAGGGGAACTTGGTGAGATTTTTCTGTCTTCCAGCTGGAACAACAGTCATCAGACTCACTTAGACTAGCGCTGACACCATCAATTCCCCTTGGTTCTCAGGCCTTCAGACCCAGAGTAGGACTGACCAGCTCTCCTGGACTCCTATGTGCTGACTAGAGACCAACAGACTTCTTAGCCTCCAGAACTGTGTGAGCCATTGTCTTTTTTTTTTTATTTTCATTTTGTGTATGAGTATATTGCCTACATGTATGTGAGTGCATCCATGTCGTGCATTGCCGCGGAGGTCAGAAGAGGGCTTCAGATTCCCCTGGAGCTGGAGTTAAGGATGGTTCGTAGCTGCCATGTGGGCGCTGGGAATCGAACCCAGGCTCTCTGCAAGAGCAATTGGTGCTCTTAACTGCTGAGCCATCTCTCCAGTGTCTTATTTTACATATACATAACAATAACATTCCACATTATATAATTATATAGTATATAATGTATCCCATATTATAAAACATATTTATATGTAATTACACATTAATAATCATTTTTATTGTAAATTACTTTAAATTTGATAAATGTTTATATTTTCATTAGTTATATTTTATATGTAATATCAATTATATATAGAATATGAAATATATTAATACAGTGATTGTGTGTGTGTGTACCTCTTATTTTTTTGTTTCTCTAGAAGAGTCACAATATTCACAATTCTGTGGGACTGAAAAAAAAAAGATGAAAGCCTGGGCTCACTTCCATCTCGGCTTTGGGGCATTGATCTCACTCCTGCATTTCATTTCAGAGTAAAGGCTGGGTACAGTCTGGGGCGTCTGCGACACACTGGCTTACGGAAACAAAACTGGCTGAGGTCCCACTGACTCTGCGGCCCCTACCAATCTCAAAGGACGGTTGTTAAATGCAAGTAAGATAATACATGCATCTTGTGTTGTGATGAATACCACTTAAATCCCTTGGTGACTTAACAGGGAGAGAAAGAACTAGGCTACAGATGCTATGGTCACCTAACACCATGTCACCAGGCAAGTAGTGTCCCAATGGCCACCTCTCCCCCAGCCTCCTCCATCCACTCACAATTTAAGTTTAAGTTGAGATTATGGAACTGGCTTTCTGAGGGACAAACTGAGCCTTAATGCCATTCACACTTGGTGTTAGGTACATCAATTACACAAGCAGCTACCAGAAGCTACCCTCAATGAAAAAGCCACTTTGCTTAGAAGGAAAAGGAGGAAACGGAGGGGTATACTCTCACCCTAGGTAGCTCCCACTGCCCACCCTTGGGACAGGACCAAAGAGACCCAGGTTTCTAGGACCCTTATGAAAACCATTTGGCTTATGTATTTCTATTTTCTTTCTGTAAGAAAGGAGGCTGGGGGTCTGGTGAGATGGCTCCGGGGGTCAAGCGCTTGAGGTACACATGGAAGGACTGAAGTTTAAATTCCCAGCACCCAAGTAAACTGGCAGATATAGAGGCCTGCTTGTAATCCCAGCACTCAGGAGGCAGAGAAAGAGGATTTCTCAGAGCAAATTGGCTAGCTAGACTACCTGAATTGTTGAGCTCTGGGTTCAAGCGAGAGATCCTGCCTCGACATATTAGGTGGAGTAACGGGAAAATATCTCATGCCAACCTCTGGCCTCCACACACATACACATGTACAGGCACCTACCCATACATGTACACCCCCACACATGCATGCACACCACAAACACATAAACACATATACATGCAAAAAGGAAGGAAGGGAGGGAGGGAAGGGGTTGGCCTACCTAGAGGATTTCAAAGCTAAAACTCATTAAGGTATGGCTCTTCTGCTGGTACAGCTTCTTGTGAGAGCAGATACTCTAAAACCAGAGCAGATCTGCCATCTCCACCTTCAGTAACCAAGCTCCTGCCCAGGGCTTTCACGAAGTCACAGAACAGGGCATCACCAGACCAACCTTGCTGTATGTACCCCAGTCCTGTTCACCTAGACCTTTATATAGACTGTCTCCCCTCAGATAAAGGGGTCTTAGTTCCCCAAGACAAAAGACTCTAGAAGTGTTTGGATGATCTGCAGAGCAAATTCAAGGCCAACTTGGTTTGGAAGAAGGAAGAAGGGAGGAGGGAGGTGGGAGGAGGGAGAAGAGGAAGAAAAGAGGAAGGAAGGAAGGAAGGAAGGAAGGAAGGAAGGAAGGAAGGAAGGAAGGAAGGAAGGAAGGGAAGGGAGGAAGGAAGGAAGGAAGGAAGGAAGGAAGGAAGGAAGGAAGGAAGGAAGGAAGGAAGGAAGGAAGGAAATCAATCATGTGTCGAATTCAAGATAGGCAATAGAGATGGCAGACCAACGAGCTGGCCTGCGGCCCTGTGCTGTGCAGGGCATGCATGGCTTGCCCAGCTACCTGCTACACCTCCAGGAGAAGCCACCGTGCAGGCACTGACCACTATCTGCCCTGTGGACTCAGAGAGAAAGCACATTTTCCTGCATGCTGCAGCCTGGCTGAGCGGGAGAGGGTACAGCCGGGCTGACTGAGCAGCACCACACCAAAGTGGCTGTGAATGGAAAAAGATTCAATGATTAAAAGTCAAACTTACCTTCAATCCCAACGAAGACAGTCAGTCCAAAACAGATGAAGAAGACAACAAACACAAGCACGAAGTGGCGTTTGGAGAGTGTGTAGAGCCGCATGGGCGCCAGCCTGCTGAGCAGAAGCCAGGAGTGAGGACAGTCGGGTCGCACACAGTCCCCACCTAGGCCAGCAACATGACACAGGCCACATCTGGCCCCCACCTCTTCATACCAGTGCTTGCCTCAGAAATTTATCTGTGTGACCTCCCCTGACTGAACAGCTCAGTGACCTTGGCAATCTCCTAAGGAAGGGGATCAATCCTTCTGTTCTGGGTCCGAGTTGCTGCCACCTCTGGCCTGGCCTGTGCAGGCCAAACTTACCCCTCATGGTTGGAGACTGCACAGTGGTTTCTATGCTAAGGACACATCACCATACCAGGGAAGTGGCCTAACCTTCTACACACCCCACCTCCAGCTGCCAGAGTAGAGCCACAGTGCAGACCATCCAGGAGCCCCGTGCAGCCATCCCAGCCACATCCAGGTTGCAAATAGCAGGGACCACCAGCAGCACCCACTTCCACCTAGCCTCTCTCAACTCCATAGAGTCCCCCACCGCTTAAGACCCTCCCAGCAGAAGTCTCCACCCTGGCCTTTCCAAGAGTGCTTTTGACGTCCTCTGTGATTTACAGGAATACAGAGGCCACTCAGTGGGCTGACCCCCAACATGCACCCTAACACTTTCCCCATAGAACAAAACATGGGGGCGGGGGCACTCAGTGGTTAAGAACATGTACTGCTCTTGCAGAGGACCCAGTTCAGTTTCCAGCACCCACATCAAGTGGCTCTGGCTCAGGGGATATGACACCCTCTTCTGGCCTCTTCAGGCAACTGCACATACCGCCCCCCAGACAAGCAAGTCATTCATAATTAAAAAATAAAAATTATCCTGGCATGTAGCACATGCCTTTAATCCTAGAAGGCAGATCTCTGTGAGTTCAAGGCCAGCCTGGTCTACATAGCCAGTTCCAGGCCAGCTGGGACTACAGGAAGACCCTGTCTCAAAAGGACAAAAACATAATAATAATAATAATAATAATAATAATAATAATAATAATAAATCTTTAAAACAAAAAACAAAGGATGGGGAAGGAAACCATACTTCTTGTTCAGAACTCCATCAGGCAGGCAACAAAAGAAGTCTAAATGTCCTCAAAAGTCCTCAGCTTTGCAGGCCACTAAGTCTCAGCATAGGGACAGAGCTCTGCCTTCAAAAGTGGCAGGTATCACAAGCCCACGCAGTGTGGATGGGAACTGGCCAACCCTACTCTGAGCCCGAGATGGCCCCCAAGGAAGGAGCTGGAAGCTTGTTTGGTGTCCAAGCCTGTCCCAAGCCTGTCCCGTGCTCATGTCTTAGAAGCAAAGTGGCAGGAAGGGCTGACTCAACCTGGACAGAGGTGTGGCCTGGAGACACAGCCAAGGGCTACAGACTTTTGTGCAAGCAGTGCACACCCCTCCCTTCCACATGTACCCAGGACTTCAGCTGCCAAGCAGGAAGTCAGCCACATGGCTGGAAAGTCTCAGAGCTACCATGACATGGCCCTGCTGACCCATGTGGTACCTGTGCAGCCACCTGGTTGGTACAAAATTAGCCTGGCTGACTTCAGACCACCCTGGCTGACTTCAGATCACCCTGGCTGACTTCAGATCACCCTGGCTGACTTCAGACCACCCTGGCTGACTTCAGACCACGGTCGATGGGTTCGCTGAAGAGTAAACCCAGAGCCGCACCAGGGTTTCCCAGGGACTCTGGCCCCAACAGTGACCCACAAACCACCCTGCTGGCATTAGAAAAGCTAATGAAGTAAGGACCTAGTGCCAGCTCAGATTTGGGTCCTGGGGCCCTTACGTATCAGAACTAGAACTGGCCTCTGGGTAGGAGCCAGATGTGTCTATGCAAAACACAGCTCTCTAAAGGGAGTAAGAGATAGTTTACTCTGAGCCAAACAAAATGACACAGCCCAGGAACATGGACTCAGTCTGATGTGTTATATTCCAGCATGGAGGTGGTTACATGAACATTAACCGAGCAATGTATTTACCAGTTACATCAGGCAGGTGGGTTACAGCAAGTAGGGCCATCTCTGCTACAGGTCTCAGAGGCTAGCTGAGGATATTCTTACCTTTGGGATTTGAGAGACCTAATAGTCTAGTAACAAACACACTGCAAAAGTTTTACCTGACAAGTGAAAGGCTGTCAGATGAAATGCAGAGGTAGGTGGCAAATGGCTAAGAAGAGGGGTAAAACTAGCCCAAGGTCATTCTGCCTCTGTCTGCCACACTCAACTCCCCACAACCACGAAGTTCTAATCAGGCTGCAGAATCTTCAACACAGGTGTGGCTTTTCCAGGGACCTTCAGTTCACACCCTCTATTTACAGATAGAGAAGCTGAGGTCTGGAGGCCAGAGGCCTGTCCAAGGTTGTCACTGCCCAGCTCTCTGGTAGTGCCCGTGGCACCCCTAGGAGACAGCGGCTCTGGGAAGTGGAACCCAGTAATGCCCATCTGGGACAGCCCTGTGGAATAGGGAGCCTAGCAAGATGGCAAGTGCCCCCCTTCTCTGGGGCCCAGGTGTTTATTGGACAATGAGTTTTATACATTTTTTGTTTTAATACTGTAAGGAGGGAAAAATTTCTAGGTAACTATAAACATCTCCATGTTGAAAAAAAAATTACACAAAGTTAATGGACTAGGTGGTGGGGAAGTACAAGCAGTTTAGTGATAGTGTCTCACCCATGCTAATGATGCCAGTTTGAAACAACATGCCCGGTTATATGAGGTGCTAGTACCAGGGGAGGCTGATGAGAGGTGTGCAGAAACTCCATGCTACCTCTGCTACTCCCCTGTGATCTGTTTTTAGAAAGTTCACAGCCATTTGTGAGCACTTTATTGTACCATCCTCAGTGACTTGATCAGGACCAAGCCACCCAGAGAGCTCCTCAAATAGAGGCTAAAAACAGAGACTTGGAAGCAGGGAAAACAGACTAAGATTATATTTTACACTTCAATTTTTTTGGGGGAAGGGTGTCTTTTTGAGACAGGGTCTCCCTGTAGTCCCAGCTGGCCTTGAACTCACAGAGATCCACCTGCCTCTGTCTCCCAAGTGCTGGGACTACAGGCATGCACCACCACGCCCGGCACACTTCAATTTTTAAGATGCATTACTGACACCCTAAAAGCACAGTTACGTGACAGATGAGGAAGAAGGCTGAATAAAGACACATTAAGAAAGACTATGACAACACAGGTCAAATGTAAGAGGCACATGACGCACCCAGGCTAGGTGCCACGTTGCTCCTCAAAAGGGAAAGCAAAGCCCAGCATCTTAGGGTTGGGGAGATGGCCCAGTCAGCATGGTGCTGGCCTCTGTAAGCATGAGGACCAGAGTTCAGTCCCCAGCACCCACATAAAAAAGCCAGGAGCAGAAGTACACATCTGTAATTGCAGAGCTGGGATAGAGACAGGAGGATCCCTGGGGCTTCTTGGCCAGTTTTGCCAAATATGTGAATGCCAGGTTCAACGTGCATGCACACACACACACCACCAGCGTTTTCCCTTTCTTTAAACTTCCACTTAAGGCGGGGGAGAAGGCTCAGTGGGTAAAGTGCCACACAATCATAAGGACCTGAGTTTGGATCTGCAGAACCACATAAAAGCTGGGCACAGTGGCACGTGCCTGTAACCTCATCACAGGAGGGCAGATACGGGAGGATCCCTGGGCCTTGCTGGCCAGCCAGTCCAGCAAATCAGCAAGCTCTAGGTTCAGTGAGAGACTATCTCAAAAAAATAAGGTGGAGAGTAACAAATGAAGACACCTGATGTTAACCTCTAGCCTCCACACACAGGCGTACACACCCACCATTCTAGTTTGCCTTCAACTGCTGTGACAAAACACTCTAACCAATACCAACTTGGGGAAGAAAGGGTTTATTTGGCTTACATCTCCCGGGTCATAGTTAGTCAGGGAGCCCAAGGTAGGAACTCAGGGCAGGAACCTGGAGGCAGAAGCTGGAGCACAGGCCATGGAGGAACGCTGCTTACTGGCTTGCTCCTTTGGCCCATGCTCAGCCTGACCAGGGGTGGCACCACCCACAGTGGGCTGGGCCCTCCCACATCACTCAACAATCAAGAAGATGCCCCAAAGACATGGCCACAGGCCAGTTCAATGGAGGCAATTCCCCTGTTGAGGCTCCCTCTACCCAGATGTGTCAAGTTGACACTAAAGCTATCCAGCACACTCAAACACATACATACTCCACACACAAATATTTTTAATTTAAAAAAAAAAAAAAAAGCTTCCACTTAAACCCAATTTCTTAGCAAATGTCCTGGTTAAGCAATCAAGTCACCTAAATCCATGGGAAAAAGATGCAGGGTTAGTATACGAACCCCTAAGCTCAAGAGACACAGCCTCACACAGCCACCCATGCTGGGCTTGGCTGTATGGGCTGGCAGGAACCCACCATCAGTTCTCTCGGTTCTCAGGCCTCTCCAGGCTGGGAACGGTACCTACACAGGGTAGTTCCACACAGATGGCTCCCAGGTCTGACCCCCCTGCCCATGGCTCCCTCAGCTCCCTAGCTTCCAGTCTAAAAGGTTTGAACATTAAAACTAGAGACTTCCCATGGGGCGTGGTAGCACACACCTTTAATCGGGAGGCAGAGGCAGAGGGATCTCTGTGAGTTCAAGGCCAGCCTGGTCTACATAGTGAGTTTCAGGCCAGCTGGGGCTACAGGGAGACCCTGTTCCAAAACGACGCCCCCCCAAAAAAACAACAAAAGAAAACTAGAGACTTCCAAAAGCTCAGAAACACCAGCCTATCTGCCATAAACCTTAAGTCCAAAACTTATTTATGGCCAAGGCTAGAAATGCCAAGATGCTAATGTAAAGCCAAGTGCAGAGCCTTGACCAGAATAAGCCTGTTCCCACTACTAGTGACCAGCTTGGCGGCTTTACCTAGGATATATTTCATCCCTGTCCTCACCCAGGTTCCACTGAGGTGCCGCCTCTTGCCCATCTCACCTGCCCACTGAAATGCTCCTTAACAATCGAGCTTACCTGGGCCAAGGCCAGGCAAGTCTTGGCAACAAGGACAGTCTGTCACCCTCTAGGATCAGAACAGCAAAAGTTCATTTCTGCAACTGCTTAGGCGCGACGCTGTGAGGTAGAAAGTACACAGGGCCGACCAGCTCAAGGCCTCTGGTCCATAGGCCTATCTCCATCACCTCCACTCTGTGGCCACCACACTCTTCCTGACATCCTCCATCCCCAGATTCTGGACACCACATGCCATGGGCTTTCCACACAGTGGCTGTCTGCCTTTCCTCGCCTCACTCTTCCTGCCTTAGAAACCTCCACGCCTCCTGTTCAACCCTCCCCGACTCTGAAACAGTGTCTTCCAAGGCATTTTCACTAGCGCCCTATATTAACTCATGGTCAACAGGCTTAAGGCTGAACTCCTTGGAAAACAAACAAATAAAAACCTTGCTTCCACTCCCCGCTTCCTGCCCCTCATCTTGAAACCTCCAAGTCATCTCGGGTGTTCTCTCCTGTTTATTCCATATTCAGGCCAGCCAAGAAGAGGCAGTCTTGCATCCCAAACCCTCTCCATTCCCAGCCTGAAAGCTCATCCAGGCCCTAGTGGTTGTAAGAGCTGTTTAACCGCTGTGATGCTTAGTTTTTAATTGCTGGCTTGACCCAGCGTAGAATCACCTGGGAGGAGTCTTAACTGAGGAAATGTCTAGATCAGGTTGACCGGAGGGCATGTCTGTGGGGGACTGTCTTGATGGTCAATTGATATGGGAAGACCCAGCCCACTGTGGGAGGCATTATTCCCTAGGCAGGGATTCCTGTAAGAGTGTGGAGAGTGAGTCAAGCTGAACACAAGCAAGCGAACAAGGGGGCTTGCATGGATTTACTTCTTCCTGCTCTTGAATGTGTCTGGGACTTCTCTGCTAGGATGGATTGTTACCTGGAATTGTAAGCCAAATTAAGTCCCTTTCTCCTCTAAATTGCTTTTTGTCGAAAAGTTATTTTATCACAGCAAATGAAACTGGAGCAGTCTACCTCCCCCATGAACGCCTATAGTGGCTCCTACCATTAGAGGGCCACATTTCAGCTCCTCCTTAGGGCTCATGACATCCACCAAGTCCTTCCCTAACGTTCCAATCCAACCTTCCTACCACCCTGCATGTGTCCAGCACATCATTACACCTGAGGTGTTACGCTGAGTACCCCCAGTTCACAAACAAGAAAGTTGACTTAGAACAGTTACAAAGGGATAAGGCTAAGAGTCTAGTGGTACAACATGCTCCTAGAATGTCTGAAACCCTGAGTTCAATCCTCAGCACTACAGTGGGGTCATAGGAGGACAAAACAGTTAGGTACCTAGCCCCAGATCACAAAGCTACTAAGTAGCAGCATTCAAATCCAAGCATCAGACCTGCTTCCCAACATGGTGTTCAGCGCCAGACTCCAGCCTAGCCCATCCACACACTGCTCTCCTGATCAGAAATGCTGTCATGTCCCTAAGTCATCTAAACCCTACCCCCACATACACTCAGGCTCACCTGTGTGTCCCATCTTCTCCATGATACATTCCCTTATCCATCTCTCATGGCACCACTGCAAGAGGGTCTGCTCCCTGTGGCTGAGGGCCTGAAGACAAAATGTCACTGGGCTGCAGAGACACCAGAATTAGCACATAGCAGGCATTCAAAACTCATTTACTAGGCTGGGCATGGTGGTACAGGCCTTTAATCCTAGCAGTTGGGAGGCAGAAGCAGGTGGATCTCCTTGAGCCCTTGAGTTTGAGGCCAGTCTGGTCTACATAGCGAGTTACGGGCCAGCCAGAACTGCATAGTGAGATTCTGTCTCAAAAAAAAAGAAAAGAAAGAAACCAAACCAAACCAAACCAAACTCATCTACTCATCTGCCATTATGTCAAAAATGTTTGCATAGTTCTCTCAAGATAGAGGTGAAATGCTAGGGAGAAACTCCCCATTTCTCTCTACATTCAGGTCAAGCCAAGCATGCCTGCTGACAAGCTAACTAGGGCAGCAGACTTCTACAACCCCTGCCAGCACCCTCGTGGCCTTCATGGGACATGTATCAGTTCTCCTCTCTAGCCCTGTGAATCTTTTCCCACTGAGGAGCCCACACACATCCTCTACAATCCCATCACCCAGCATGGGTCCTATCATCAGTGGATGTCTAATTTATAGGCTCCCGCATCTCTACATTCCTACCTTGTCTTGGTCTTTCTTCCTCTGGGTTCTATTCTGTTCTCTGCTATGATAAACGGTCAGCCACTGAGCTGCAAGATTCAACTATCTTTTCCCCAGGTCATCTTTTAATGGTGTCTGTGGTGGGTTTTGTCCTCTGAACCTGAGACAGGCAAAGCAGCTCTATACCACTTTGGCCCAAAAGGCCATCTGAACAATATCCACTTCAGTCCTTGAGGTCATGCATGCTCAGCAACAATGCACAGCATCCTGGCTCAGTCAGCTGTTCAGTCTAAGTCCTCATTAGCCTGGCTGAGCGCCTCAGAGTCCCTATAGCCACCACTACCCAACTTAAGCACTTCTCCCATGCACACAGGCTCCTCAGTCCATAAAACAACCCTGGAGAGAGGGTAGGAGACCACAATGGATGCCTGCCTGGACCTGGAGATCAATGACTACAAGACAGGACTCAGTTGAGTGGAGAAGGTCAGAGACCACCTCAGGGTGCTGGCTTTACCCAGAAAGAAAACCCCATGCAAACAATTACCCCAACAGCAGCTAGCACGAGGCCCAAACCATCACATATGAGGCAGAAAATTTGCTCACAAGACATATTTTATGTCCTCAAGCCACTAATACAGTAGAGAAGATTGAAAATACAGGGCAGTTGGTAAAGTGCTTGCCACACAAGCATTAGGACTTGATTTTGGATCCTAGGCACCTATGAAAAAGCCAACACGGCAGGGCATGCTCCTGTAATCCCAGCACTGGGGACGCAGAGGCAGGCGGATCCCTAGAGCTCACTGACTCACCAGCGTAGCCAAATCAACGAGCTCCGCATTCAGTGAGAGATTGTCTGAAAAAACTAAGGTGGAGAGTGACTAAGGCAGACATCCAGTGTTGACCTCTGCCTTCCACAAGCACCTGTACACGTGACATACACACACACACACACGCACTAAACAAAAAGACTGCAAATACAGTATTTAGTCTGACCCATTACCCAGATTTCCCACTTCAGTGGAAAAAGGGATTTTAACTCTATCAGCTCATCTGACATTTTAGTTAAGAGTATTTTTTCACAACTGGCATAAAAACAATCCTTTGGTTCCAGGCACTAGCTTCATGCCTACCTGCTGGGTCCCTACTTTCTACCACGCAGCTGTAGGCAAGCGAAGTTTTCTCCTCTGTGGGACAGAGAAGCAAAGCACTCACAAAGGCTGGTTACAGGGTTGTGAAATTTCAAAACACAAAGTGTTCAGAACAGCACAGTAAGGCTGTACAAACTCAGTCATTTAGATAGCATTAGTCACAGTGATGCCTTTGCCTGTCTGCTTTGGGGGTGGCTGCTTTGTTTTTTAGACCAGATTTCAATTTGTTGCCCAAGCTGCCCCCTTGCCTTTGTCCTCTCATCACAACCAGAACTGCGGGTGTACTCCACCATTCCCAGATCTTCCGCTTCTTATTTCTGAAAAACTTCAGTCCCTGGCACAGCACCTCTGTGTAAAACGTCTCTCCTCCTCTAGCTTCAGCCCATAAAAGAAGGAAAAACTGGAATTTCCTGTGTACCTGCTGGACACCAGGCTAGGAGCATCCCTGGAGAAGAGGTATTACCAGGCCACTCAGTAAGGAGGAAAATGAGGGTGGGGAGCGTTTCAGGGCAGCAGGAGGTAGAAGCAGAATCTAAACCTACAAATGTCCATCAAGGTTTGGCTTTGGACAGGAGGCCCACCATCCCCTCATGCTCCCTACAGCCCCTTACCAATCTTCACTCCTTAAATAATCTACACTGGAGAAGAAACTTCAGAGGGAAAAACAGAAGGCTAAAACTTCAATTAATCAACTTGACTATACTACAAATAATTTCTAGTAGGCTTCAAAAATGCCATTATGTGACCACTCAAGGCCCAACGTCACACTTTTTAACGGATGACATGCCACACACCTCAAGGAAGGAAGAGTTCATATGTATTCAGCTTACTCCCAGGTACATGCTGGTTAGGTCATCAAACACCCTTCCCAGGCAAGACAGGAGGAGGAGGCAGGTCAGACATTGGTCAGCCATATGTGGCCCAGGGAAGCAGCGCTCTAGATCATTGTGGGGTGGTACAGGTCCAGAATGTGGGCAGGAAGGCCTCTCCACCACGGGCCAGCTAGGTGACTTGGTGTGAACCACTTCACCTTTCACCTCTGGTTCCTGAACTGTAGCATCCAGGAATCAGGGACCCACCTCCTGAAGTTGCTGAGGGGATGAAGCATCTGCTGAGCACATATTAGCTGCCTGCTGTTGTCAAGAGCATGGGCTCTGGAGTCTGACCATGCAAGTTGCCCTCTCAGTGAGACTTACAGTTGACATGGAGAAACTCGACTCCTATGCATCTCCATTACGGAATCTGTAACATGGGAGTGGTTGAGAGGCTCCCTTTTAGGAAGGTAGTGATGAGAAGCTACACAATGATGGATGGAAAGTGGTATCACGTGCTAGAGACACAGCTCAGAGGTCAGGAGTATTTGATGCTCTTGCAGAGAACCCAAGTTTTGTTCCCACCACCCACATCAGGTGGTTTACAACTACTTGGAACTCCAGCTCCAGTATATCCAATGCCCTCTTCTGGCCTCCATGGACACCCACAAGAATGTGGTGTGAACTCACACATATACATACATGTAATTTTTTTTTAATTTAAGTGATGCACAGTCTCTGACACAGTGAACAGTAAACAGGGAAAAAAATACTCTAAGAGACACAATCTTAAGTCCATGGGGCAGAACAGGACACTAATGAAAGCTTGTGTCCCTTCTAGCACTGGAGAATTGGTGGGTACTTGATGCAGCCTTACAACTTAACTTGTCTACCTTTCACTGAAGGCAGAAGAGGCATTTAATTAATATACACCTGCAGCAAAATGTCCCCAGGACCAAAGAATTTTGTAAAATATACCGTCTAAAAATCCCAAACCAAAACTTTGCAGTCTCTTCCTTTCCCTGGTCAGTTCTCTGTCCTATCACACAGTACAGGCAGAGGCCTGGTTTCCGGCCTGATTAAGGCCCAACCCCCTCACATCCACTGCCCTGTATTCCCCATGGAAAATACTTAAGGACAGAAACCCCAGGGTACCGAGTAGATGCCTATAGGAACACCCCCCCAAGCAAGCAGCTCTGGGTAGCTACAGAGCCATAACACCATGCCCTAAGTGCTTAGGGCTAACTCACCTCCAGCTGGCTTTTAATCCACCTGAGTCGGGTTTTCCAGCATGGGTGAAGTGACCCAAGTCAAACTCCAAAGGAAGGGGGTGGGGGGCTGTCCTTCCACGGGAGGCGCTTGCATTGAGGCAACCCTTCTCCAGTTCCCTTGCCTCTTCTAGAATCCCAAATGAACCTGGGATGGCACTTGGTCGACCCAGGCCACCTTCCAACCTCCTGGCCCTGCCCCTGACTCCGGGCACTCCCTCACCGCTACCCTGGTCTACACCCAGGCGACTGCTGCGTCAACAGCAGCTTTAGGGATGGCGTCCCAGGGGCTCCCAGACAGGAAAACATTAAAACACCTGAATTTCACAGAGGGACTCGGGCCCCAAGTCAGCAGACTGGAAAACTCGTAAAACTCAGCACCGGGGAGATCTAAAGAGGCTGTGCCAGCTCCAGAGTGCCCACGTCACCAAACGCCTCCGGGCAGCGCATCGGGGCAGCTGGGGACCGGAGCGAGGAGAGGTGCCACTCCAGCTGTGCGGCGCGCGGGCCTGGGGCGCACGCCCGGCTCGGACCCCGACCGGCCGGGGACCAGCCCTCCTCCGCCGAGTCCCCGCTTGGGGGACCCGCTCGTGCCCGGAGCCCCGCAAAGCCGAGGGCCGCACCGTGCGCACCCGGACGCTGGGGACCCCAGCCCGCCCCACGGCCCGCCACTCACGGTTCCATCTCGGCGCCCCGGTCCCCGAGCCCGCGCTGCAGCCACCGCAGCCGCCGCCGCAGCCCGAGCCACCCGCGCCTCCGAGCAGCCGCGCAAAACGCATCAGAGCGCGACGCGCCGTCACGTGCGCGGAAGCGGAGCGCGGGGCGGGCACACCGGCAGTCCCCACCAACCGTGCTGGACCGCCTAGCTCGGGCTCGGACACCTGTCACGTGAGTGATCACCGAGGCTAGCCCAGAGCCCAGCGAGGGGTCCACGCAAGGTCTGGGCTGGGTGTCCGCTTTGCAACCCAGCTGTCCCAAGCACTTGGTTGCTTCCTCCTCTCTCCATCTCCAAAGGCGAAATCTTTATTCACAGACTACCCGTACCACTTTAAAGTTTACTTCTACGCAAGCACAAACACACATCATCCCCTTGTGTCTCCTAACCATTAAAACAAATGCCCGCTGGTTTCGGACGCTGGCAGTCCGGAAGCTGAGGGAGAGGAGCATGCTCAGTGTGGCCTCTCAAGTTATGGCCAGCAGGGCTCAAGTTGAGCCTGGTGTTTCAGTGTCCTGCATTCAGAGCTCTCTTTTTAAACTTTATCTTATTATTTTTATTTCATGTGTATGAGCGTATTGTCTGCATGTATGTAAGTGCACCTGTGTTGTGCAATGCCCATGGAGGTCAGAAAAGGGTGTCAGATCCCTTGGAACTGGAGTTATGAATGGTTGTTAACCACCATGTGGGTGCTGGGAACCAAACCTGGGTCCTCTGCAAGAGCAACCAGTGCTCTTAACGGCTGAGCCGTCTCACCAACACACATTCAGAGATCTTCACCTTTGCCACCTTCAGTAGTGTAGGAGTTTTTAGGCCTCAGTCTCAAATATGAGAGTCAAACATGGATTTTATTCCCAGTGCTTGAGCAGTGCCTTTCCACATATCTCCAGATGATGTCACTTGCCATTTTTTAGGTGTCCTCTTTCCAAGACTTGACAGCTTCACACAGACACTGAGCCCAGGAGCATCGATCAAATGACTCAGCTGGACTTTCTGATGACTGGCAATATACTAGCCTATTTTCCTAAGGTTCGGGAACTGGAAACACCTTCCCTGTGATCCGAGACAAGAAGGTGGCAGGGGCTGGTGTTTGCTCCTACCTTCTGACCAGGGTGAGCAGTGGCTCTGGTTGACCTGAGACTTTCCATAGTATTAGCCCTGAAAGTCCCACATCTTGTGATCTACTCAGTTCCAGGCAGGACAGCTGCTCTCACAATTTCTGTCCCATAGTTTCTGTTGTTGTTGTTGTTGTTGTTCATTTGTTTGCTCGAGTTACTGTCTAAACATTTTTAAAATGTCTCAGCTTGGTTCTCTTGAAAACAGAACCTGGGACAGTAGAGTTCATGTTCATTTTATTGAGCATGGGGAAAGAGGAGAGCTACAAAAATGGAGTCAGGGGAGTACACTGGAGGGGTCCAAGCTGAGTTTCACCACACATAGCTGGTTGTTTGATCTACAGGAGAACTAAGCCCAGAAACAGTCTATTGGTTCTGTCCTGTCACCTGTTGCCCATGGGTTAAGGTCTGATCTACACTCAGGGTAACTACTCAGCCCCTGCAAACAGCCTGGGAGCCAGTGCAGCTAGTGAGGGAGAACTAAGCTTTTCCTGTGAGTCTGCATGAATGGCGTAGAGTCTGAGGGGGCAGAGGCCGGAACCATGTGAGCTTTTACCAGGACACTGTGATGAGGAAGCAAGGTGGGGTTGGGGACAAGGCAGAGAGCCCTGGGCAGGGCCTGGGGGATCTGGGGACTAGTCAACAGGAAGTAGAGGCTGTTCTGAAGATGGGAAGTCAGACATCTGGGAATGAACAGCACTCCTTTGGCTTTCCTGGAGGATCCAGCTGAAGGAGGCGACTTGTCTCCATGGTGAGTTCCACAAGTGCCCACCTGAGGATGAATTCCTCCTGCTAAGCAGGCAGCCTGAGCATGTGAAGAGACTCCTGGTACTGATCAAAGATGGGACAAGGAATCAAAAGGACAGAAGAGCAAATTTAGGACAAGAGGTCACAAAATGTGCTTGGGGCGGGGGATCACTCGGGAGCTTTAAGAAACCTCAACACCCAGTTAAAGGACAACTTAGCATCAGTGCTTTTTTCTAGTTTACTTTTATCTTTCAGTTTTTTTATGTGTATGTGTGTGTGCCTGAGTGTATGTATGTGCACCATGTGCAAGAGGCTGCAGAGATCAGAAGAGGGTGTCAGATCCCTTGGAATTGGAATTACAGACAGTTGTGAGCCACCATGTAGGCACTGTGAACCAAATCCAGGTCTTCTACCAAGGACAGTAAGCTAAGTGCTCTTAACCTAGCATCAGTGCTTTTTAATGCTCCCTATAAAACTCCATTGCACAGTATGTATGATAATCGACCCCAGCTCCTTCCTGGGGACCAGCTGCATTCTTGTCTTCTGGTTCTGTGGACAATCTAATCTTTGTATTATGGTAAGAAATCCCCTTTGCAAGCCTGAAAGATGGCTCAGCAGTTAAGAGTGCTTGCTATTCTTCCAGAGGACCCAAGTTCAATTCCCAGCACCCATATTGGGTGGCTCACAACTCCCTGTAACTCCAGCTCCAGGGGATCCAACTCTCTCTTCTGGCCTCTGTAGATACCCACATCTTCATGACATATACACAGACACATAAATTAAAATAAAAAATAAATCTTAAACAATAAAAATAAAGGCCGGGCATGGTGGCACATGCCTTTAATCCCAGCACTTGGGAGGCAGAGGCAGGCGGATCTCTGTGAGTTCGAGGAGGCCAGCCTGGTCTCCATAGCAAACCCAAGCCAGCTAGGGCTACAGGGAGACCCTGTCTCAAAAAGACAGAAAAAATAAATAAAAAATAAAAATAAAAGGAATCTTTTTTTTTGCAAACTAATACTTGGAACCAACGGTTTTAAATGCTACAATACCATCTCTGCAGAAGGTGACAGCGAGTGCCACCAGGTATCCCTAGCATGGATCTTTAATGCTGAGGACTGTGGCTGAGCTCCTATCCCACTGCAGCTGGGAGGAGGGGTGCTCTGCTCTGCAGCCCCTGCAGGAGGAAGCCACTGGCCACCAGCAGAAGCTGCCAGTTGGAACTCCTAGACAACAGCCATAAGACCAGATGAAAGTGGGCCTGCCCTTTCCAGGAAGACTTCAAAGAGATCTGAGTTGGCCTGAATCATATACTGAGGCTTTCTTCCCAAGAGCATGAGGCTGCACCTCAGAAACACCACCACAGTCATAAATTGAGAGGTAAACTAGGGAAATGACACAGTGAACTTCACTTAGAGATGAAGCCTTACCTCTTTGCACTGCCCCAGAGCAAAGAGTTCTTTGTGTGCATATGAAGACAACAGAGACAGCACACCTGTCCTGAGCCTCCACAGTCTTTTCAAGTTCTGTTTGTCTCCTTCATTCGCTAGGGGACAGACCAAGGCAGGATGTGCCACCAGTGCCACCTGCTCCCACTGGTCCCCACATCCCAGATGCAGTGCTCACTACTGGAGGCCTCTGGAGGGCCTGTGAGTGTATGAGTCTGTGTGTGCCCCACTATTACAGTTCTGATTCTGGCCACTTGGCTCAGGCCGTTTCCCATGTAGCAAACCAAAGGCTGCTCAGTTAGATTCATAATTTTCCATAAACTGCTTGGGTAGGGAAGGCTGAGGTGGACCAGTCCCAGGCAGGTGATGGATCTGTCCAGCTACAGGACCCAGGATCACAAAGAAATCCTCTGCTTCAGTCTTGAACATCCAAATCTGGGGCTTTCTCCTAGTTTTCTTGCTCTGAGCTAAACCAAATAACTCACGTATACACAGGGAGAGGAGGAAGAAATATAGAAAGGTCCAGAGTGGGCATGACAGTGCCCTGGGCCATGCAAACCCAAGAGCTTGGGGTTGGGGCTTCAGACTGTGAGCTTGGAACACAAGTAGTGGGGATAGAGATGGTTGCCTGCCCCCGGGTCTAGGGCAGCAGCTTTGAGAGACCCTGCCTCTTGGTGCCCTTTCCTTTCAGGGAAGCCTTGACAGAGCATGGTCAAGTTCCAATGCATCTGTTCCTTAGAAATTACCTTTGTTCATTGCTAATTTGGACACATTCAGAGAAAAATTTTTAAAGGTTTTATTCTTATTTTTAAAATTCTTTTTCATTCATTTTTTTATGTGTATGACTGTTTTTCCTGTGTGTATGTATGTATGTATGTAAATACACCCATGTCATGCAATGCCCATGGAGAACAGAAGAGGGCATTGGATCCCCTGGAACTAGAGTTACAGATGGCTGTTAGCCACCATGTGGGTACTGGGAACTGAACCCAGGTCTCTGCAAGAGCAGCCAGTGTTCTTAACCATTGAGCAATCTCTCCAGCCCCTCAGAGAATTTTTTTTTAAGTTATGGAGGTATTCTTGATATTATCAAGGAATTTCATTTCAAGGTCGGAAAATAGATACTATGAAATAGTTGTTATTTTAGGAAAAACCTGGGGCCTGAGGTGATGGCTTAGTAAAGTGCTTGTCACACAAGCACGAGGACCTGACTTTGATCCTCCAGAATCCACGTGAAAAAAGCAGGGCATGGCAGCTGTGCACTTGTCATCTCAGTGCTGGGAAGGTGGGTCCCTGGAACTCACTGGCCAGCTAGAAGAATCAGGGTCCCCAGGCCCATGAGAAATCCTGTCTCAAAAAAGATGGAGAGGCTGGAGAGATGGCTCAGTGGGTAAGAGTGCTCACTGTGCAAGCATGATGGCCTGGGCATGGATCCCAGCACCTATATAAAAAGCCAGGCATGGTTTCGTAGGTACCTGTAATCCCAGTGTTGTGGGAGGCAGAGACAGGAGGATCATGGAAGCTTGCTGGCCAACTAGCCTAGCTCCGGGGTCAGTGAGCGATCCTATCTCAAAGAAATAAGGCAGTGTATGATTGAATAGGGTACCTGATGTCCTCCTTTGAGCTGTGTGTGTGTATAGGTACACGCACACCCCCCTACACACACAAATATTTTTAAAAGGATGGGTGGCTACTGAGGAATGACATGCAAGGTTGACCTTTGGCCTCCACCTGCATGTACACACAAGTGCGTATTCAGCCACATACACGTGAGCACACCCTGAAGAGACTTGGGACGGGCTTTCTTTTGATAACAAGGTCCTGGGAGCCAAAAGTCCAGGCTCACAGACAGCAGCCGACTGAAGGTAGAAGGGCAATGGGGCTGAGCAGATATGAAAGGCTGGAAGGAAGCGGAGCCAGGACTCCAGCTATAGCCATTTGCCATGCGACCCAAGGAGACTTACGGAAGATAGTGATATTGAGGGTGAAGGAACCAGGAGCCCCGTGCC